GACCTAAGACAAAAAAGGATCCAATAGAGCAATCGGGATACTGGGTCCGCCGACGGCCATGACCCATTTACAGATTCCGGTGCCGGCTGGACATTCTGTCACATGCATCTTTGGCTAATCCAAATGGCTTTTTCTTTGGGGGGACACAGTTCAGTGGTTGGCTTCACGAATACGAAGGGCTTACTTTTGCAACATTTAGAGGGGCTGGTCATGCAGTGCCCTGCTTCAAACCAAGCAGCTCACTTGCATTCTTCAAATCCTTTCTCCTTGGAAAATCTCCATCTTCATCTCAATCATCCGTTTACTTAACTGATCCTCAAGGATTGTGCTTCCATATGTAATAGGGTCTCATGTGAGTGTTGTTCTCCCATCGAAAACGGTTTCCTTAACTTACTGTGTTTGCTTATGGAAATCATAGGAATTTTCTGTATGTGGTGTCTTAGAATACATTCTAGACTTGGAAAATAAGAGGAGGCAATAAAACAGTTGGTCTGTCTAATACCACTTTTTGCGAGACATACACTTTAGCGTGGAGACATTGAGCAGCCCATCACATGTTTCAACATCATATTGTAACCAAAAGATTTGTCCAATAATTACAAGGTCTTAATATATTTAAGCCATTCTTTCTTTTTATATTTCTTCAATGTGGAACTCAAATTCTTCACACTCACAAGGAACAACATACTTCAACACAATCATCCCTTGAAAGGAGAAGGTGACCACTTCACTAGAGTCTTTGTTGAGGATTTCCATTTTTCTTATTGCATAGATATTGAAGAAAACAAGGGTATATGACATTCATTGAGAACATTATTGCACAAGAGATATACTACTTTTGCAATGTTACACCTAGTAAATACTGTTTCAAACTAAAGACAGTCTAAATTTTGGTGGCATGAACAAAATATCACATCTACGCCTTGATATTGGCGAGAAAGGTCTAGCTATGACTCTCCTGCTGTGATATTTGGAGTGCTGACCAAATTCAGAGTTGATTATTCTATGTTCCTTTGAACCAGAATAAGAAAGCAAGAGGCTTCTTAATTTGTCAATACCTTTGATGTTCTTCCAACAAGTAGAGGACTACAGATTGCTTGTTGAATGCCTTTAAGCATTTCTGTGTCCTCTTTATCACATCGGTTGCTTGAATGGAAAAACATCGCAAATACTTTCAGGCATGATAGATGAAGCTGCTTGCAATGTTTTGGCAGATCACTCAAGCCATCAATGACAGCATGTTGGAGCAATTCTTTCTTCTTCGTCTCTAGCATTCCTTTCACATAAGCAATTGAGTCTTCAATATCTGCCTTGGGATTTTCATTCAAATACAGCAGCACAGTGTTCAATTTTCCTTGCTCTTCTTCCTCCTGTTATAGCAAATGATAATATCATTTTCTAAAGAAAAACGAAAATTAGAAACGGAACAATCTACAACGAGTTTCCATTATCTTTTACCTGGTACCTTTGAATGTCATTCGACAAGCGAGTTATGAACATGAGCAATTTGGTGGGTGTCTCATATTGGTTTGGTTGGAGTTGGTGATTCCGAATGCTTGGAGTCAAGAAACAAGAAAGTGGAAGAACTATTGTATGTGCAACAGATGTCATACCAATTGCAAGGTATTCTTCCATTGATGGCACGCATTGACTCCGACTCCATTTAGCTTCCACCAGCCATGAAACAAATGTTTCATACCCCTTCACATCCCAACAACAAGAAGAGACTGTTTCTTACACATTCCTTCAAAAGACAAGAAACTACAACAAGTTAAGTGTTTATAAACTTACTAGGTGTTGCAGATGGTTTGTTATATCTGATCCTTGACTATGGAGGTGTTTTGCTGCAATTTCTTTCTCAAGATCATCAAGGATACCAAAGATAGCTTTGCAATGCCCATTCAGGCTCTTGCCATCCCATCTGTCCATACACAATGTTTTAAGAAATTTGAGAGGGTTTCATGATAGCCCTAACCTCTTGCGACAACCTTAAGTTTGTTAAGTATTGCCTTTGAATTGCAGAGATGAGGGTGTTGAGGTCATGTAGCAAACCGTAAGAATCAAAAAATCATTAGCAATTGTAATGAGAATTGCACTCTTTGCAGCCATCATCCTTAATGCAGAGTTGTAAGGCAAAGAAAAGCAGGCTGCTGTGGCAAAGTAACAATATGTTGTTTTCTCTCTGGCAAATCCCGAATTGACAAGACCCCATTTCCTAGACCACCTTATCAGTTCCTCCAGTTCTGTCCTGTAAATTTATTGTTGAAACTCATAACCCTTAGCTGCAAGTTTCTTTAGCTTCTCGTTTCGAAAGCTAGACAATCTGGCTAGTTCAATTCCAAAAATTTTATTTGTTAGTTCATTTGATAAAAAAAATGTTTCTTACAATTTGAATTGTTCAAAACTGATTATCAACTGGGGTCGTTCTTAATTTTAATGTTGGAACTGATCCTCCCCATTCAATAGTCATGTTTTTGACGTTTGACGTAATTTAAATTGCACCAAATTATTTGAGACTAGAAGCCTTAATACCTATGGAAGGAAGTCTTTCCAGCCCACAATGAATTTATATCTTTGTCTTCAATCCACATTCTGTGTTCCAAGTGATCCAGTCGAGCAATCCTTGGAACACTTAGCTCATGCTTGATCTATGCAACATTTAATTTGCAAGTTCAAAAATCTTATGCCCTCTATAAAATCATTATTTTTTAATTTTTTGGAAATAATAAAAGTAATTAACTAGTTCATACACACACATATATATAAATATTATAAGTACCATCATTTAGTTCATACACACATATATATATATATATATTATAAGTACCATCGTTTTCAAGAAAGACCGCTCTCCATTTCCTTCTGATGCGTATTTCTCAAGTAATTTCCTTGAAAAGGATCTTGCCTCTTCAAGTTCATATTCTCTTGAAAACATAAGATCTGTGGCTCTATGAACATTCAACATTACACTTGAGAAGAATTCAAAATTCTTTTCTATATGACCTCCAACTTTTTCATCGTTTGAAAACCAACAGAACCTCCCTGCACATTGACATATTAATTAATTCAACTATTTAAAGTACACACTAATTTTTTTTCAACAAAGTATACGTTCCATCCAAAAATGTCTTTTTTTTTTTTCCCTAATTTGTTTATTAAAAGTTATCTTTTTTCATCCTAAAGAATTAAACAATATAAAAAGATGAACATGTAATTTAGTACTTAGAGGTTGAAATTATTAACTAAATTGAAGAATCAAACATTTTTATCAATTAAAGTTTTTGTTAATCCAATCACTTTCTAAACTAAATGATAAAAATTTTAAAATAAAATCCTAAAACAATAATTAGAAAACTTAAAGGGAAAATATCTTTGAATTTGAATTTAATTAGGAGCTTGGATTTCTAAAGTAAGAGTAGAAGTATCTCTTGTACTTGAAATTAATAAATACTCTTTATTTGGTCGATTAAAAAAAGGAAAATGCTATGTTTACCCTCCCTTTTTTCACACTCCGTCACACACTCACACCATTCTTTACAAACACTCACTCTCCGTTAAGCATCCAACCCAACCCTTTCTTTCTCTCTCCTTTCCTTTCTCCTTCTTATTGTACACCATCCTCCTTGCTGATCAAAACCATCATAATCCCTTTAGTTGATGAACTGGAAACATACAAAGACACCACGAGAATCATTAGCGTCTTGAGCTCAAAAAACGTTTCGATTCAAGTTGCAACCTTTGAGTGCATACTGGGAATTACATATCATGGGAGAAAAGGAAGTGATTGAGAGCATCCTTCGAGTTGGGTTCCTTCAATTGCAGATTCCCCCCTTCTTCCTCTTTCCTCTTCCTCTTTTTTTTTTTCTCTCCGGTTCCCCTTTAGAGCCCGAGGTGAGAACCTATTCTGGGTTCTCATGGATTCTCTTGGAGAACCCGTTCTGGGTTCTCACAGGTTCTCCTTCAACAAATCAAAGAGAGGGGAAGAGAAGAAGAAGGGAGGAGAGGGAAAGAAGAAGAAAAAGAAAGGAGAAAGAGGGAAAAGAAAGAAGAAGGTTGAAAATCAAAGAGCTAATGCTGGGTGAAGAGGATGAAATTGTAGGTTTCATTAGGGAAATTGTAGGTTTCATTAGGGCAATTGCAGGTTTGGGAGTTAATAGAACGAAAAGTAACATAGACTAACGAAGCCTAAGTGGGTGTAATGAGGTGTGTGACGGAAGTGTGTACGTAGCATTATCCTTAAAAAAATTAAGAGCCTTGATGCACATTACATTTATTTAGTTTATAATATTTTCATCTTTTATAAAATGTTTATTTAAGTTTTAATATTTTGGTGATTATAATTAAAAAAATATTATAAATTGTATTTGTCTTGAGTTATTACATATGAAAAATTATAAATAGTTAGATGAGAATAACTTGAAATTTTTCATAAATATAATATTTAAAAACTTAAAATAATAATAATATGTACTAAATTTTAAAATTTTCAAAAGTTGTGGGGGACGGCTGCCACCCCTCCCTCTGCCCCTGTGCGCGCGTGCGTGCATACATATTTTTAGGAACCATACATGGAGATACTGTGTAACCATGCATACGGAGAAGCCGAAATGCTAAAGAATCGATCCTTATGTAGCTGAGTTGCACTTTTACTTCTTGATCCTCCCTTGGATTCTTGATTGTGATAATTCCTACTTAATTCAAATGATTTTCTTTATAACAAAAAGGCTATTACTTATATATCTTTTATATATAATTTTTGTGTTTGTAATTTCTTTTCCATACCTATGATATGGGCCAAAATATGGTCTATTTCTTGGGTGAAATGATCGGCTAACCCTAATCTTTGAAGTTGATTTACCATACAAAGTTGTATTAGGTCTTCATCCATAGGATATTTTGGTGGAACTGCATACAAGTTAATTAATTAACATTTAATTTTCAGTAAAAACAAAAATTAAAATTAAAAAATTGCATGGATTAATTTTTTTTAACAGGGTAAAATGTAGAGGATGGTGAAAAATAAAGAAAAAAAAAACCAAATTCTATTCATTTTAGTTGGAGCACCTCTAACTTTCTACTAGAGATTACCCTCCTTCGAAATGAAAGTATAGTTTGAGGATATGGGTCCCAAAAGATGCATGCATTAATTGCTATAGAAAATTTCGCTGACCTCCATTAGAGCATCTTTGAACGAGAGCTTGCAAATAAGCTAAGCATTCTCTCTCTCCCGTAGCCATTAATGCTCGAGCTGTAGCTACGGGGGAGTGGAATAAGGAGCCATCCAAGCTTAAGTGCTTGGTAACGCTTTCTTTAATGAGATTATCATCAGCTGGTGTTAGGATTTCAAGATATGATAGCAATGGAGGATATTGTTCTCCAACCGGCCAGTTCCTCCGATCCCTGCGTTATCAAATATTACAATCTATTAATTAAATAAATGTGTAAAAAAAATATATATATATATAACATCAGATAAATAAATAAAAATACTTCCCCCTTAGTTTTTTTCTCCTAGGGTTGGGAGCTTTTTTCTCCTCAAGGTGGGAGTGCAGCATCAAAGCGGCGTGAATAGGGATTCCACGATGGCTGAATCCAATGTGCAGGATCTAACGATAGCGATGGGTAAACAACTATCTTTGACAGCAGATGAAGATGTTGGCCTTGACTTAGATGATGGAACAGGTAATGATCCTGATGGCGGAGTCTCCAAGTGGTGCTTAGTCGGAACAGTTCTGACTAGGAAGCGGTATAACATGGAAGCGATGGAATCTACACTAGCGGGGGTATGGAGACCAGTAAAAGGTATGCACATGCGAATCCTGGGGCATAACCATTTTGCTCTTTACTTTTTTCATCCAGTGGACATGAATCGAGTGCTGGCAGCGGGTCCATGGCGTTTTGCTGATCATGTCATGATCCTAAAGGAGGCGCATGATGGAAAGATGATAACTAAGGAGCACCTTTTTGAGGTTCCATTTTGGATCCAGATCCATGACTTGCCAGCAAGCCGAATGACTGAAGCCACAGGTAGAAGAATTGGTGCAGAAATTGGGAGACTCATTGAGGTGGACGCAGGGAATGGTCATGTATGGGGTACACATTATATTCGTGTTCGCGTGGTTATTGACTCAAGGAAACCTCTGCGACGTGGTATGAAGCTTTCTTTGAAGGATGGGCCAGTTTGGGTTTCGTTTCAGTATGAGCGGCTCCCGCATTTCTGTTATTGTTGTGGCATGTTGGATCATGTTGAACGGGACTGTGAGTTGGGTTTGGAGCTAGAACATATGGGAGTTACGGAGCGGCCTTATGATGACAGGCTTAGAGCAGCATCGAAACGGGAGAGACAGGAGGCTGCAACGAATAATGGGAGATGGTTGCGTGACGCCGCCGGCTGCCCAACCGGTGAGAACTCACGGGAGAGGCACCAACTTCCAAAATTGGGAAGAAGGCCTGATTTGGAAATGGGCAATGTTCACGGAAGGGAGATTGGCATGAATGGCCGTGATTATCGGGATGCAACAAAGAATCCAGTGGAGCCAATGAGTGCCTTAAATCCGGGCTGTCAAATATTGCAGGGATATGGTAGTGTGGAGAATTGCCAGTCTGTTTCGAGCCCCAAAGCGAAGTATATGGAAAGACAGCATAATCAAGGGAATACAGGGAATATTGTAGATAACTGTGATGGAGCTCCCGCCTTAAATTTGAATGTTCCAGAGAAGCATAGTCCTACACTGGGGGCCCCCCCTCCCAAACTAAGTGGGCCAGGTCTTTCTGATAATATGGAAGGACAAAAAGGCCACAATAGTGATGGGCCTCTCCGCTCCGTTGAGACCCAAGATTCGGACTTAATCTTTGTGTTCTCCTCGACCCCGGGTGATAACCCTCCGAGAACTAGATCTTGGAAGAAGGAGGCTCGAGAACGACGCCATTCTAGCTCACACACCTTAAGCTCTTCCTGTCGGATCAAGAGGAAGGACGAGCAATCCCAAATCCTTGTAAGTGAGCAACTCGGTGGACAGAAGCGGGGCAAAGGTATAAGTGATGTTGGTGATGCTATTATACTATCGGCGGGTGCTGCCACGCAGGCCCGCCGGTCACCATGAGTCTCTTCTGTTGGAACTGCCGAGGGCTTGGGAACCCTCGTGCAGTTCGTTGCCTCATCGAACTGGTGGGGCTGAAGCAGCCTGCAGTAGTGTTTTTGTGTGAGACTCTACTGGATAAAAGAGGTATGGACAAAGTAAGAAGAAGATTGGGTTTCAGTCATTGCTTTACAGTGGACAAAGTGGGACGCAGTGGAGGTTTGGCTATGCTTTGGAAGCATGACATACAACTATCACTCTTTTCTTATTCACGGAATCATATAGATATGCAGGTTGAACGCATGGGCTCTTGCACATGGCGTTTCACAGGTTATTATGGGCACCCTGAGAGACACAACCGACGGCACTCGTGGCAACTTTTACAAGATTTAGCCACAAAATCTGAGCTACCATGGCTGATTGGAGGGGATTTTAATGATCTCTTACAACCAGATGATAAAGTAGGTGGTAATCCTCAGCCTGAGTGGATGCTATGTGGCTTCCGGGAAGTGGTGGAAGCATGTAACTTAGAGGAGATACCAATGGTCGGAGGCCATTTCACTTGGCGTCGAGGAGGTGTTCAAGAGAAGTTGGACAGAGGCCTTGCCACCCTCAGATGGCGGAATTTGTTCCCCCGAGCAAAAGTTAGATTACTGCCCCCCTTGTCCTCAGATCATTCTCCGCTATGGGTTACTCTTGATAGCCATTATAAGCGTCACAATAGACGCAAGAAGAGATTTCGGTTCGAAGACATGTGGCTCCGAGATCCTAGGTGCAATGAAACAGTTCTTTCTAGTTGGGGTTCTATTACAAGTGAAGGAAATTGGAGTTGTTTACTGCAGAAAATCAGTCTTAGTTCTATGAGACTCCAAAGCTAGAATTTTTCCCATTTTGGCCATGTGCAGAATCAACTAAAGCAATGCATGGAACACCTTGAGTCGTTGAAGAATATGCCTTCCTCAGAAGCTACTCAGAATGAAGAACAAAAGGTGCTTGCTGAAACTGAAGAGTGGTTGGAAAGGGAGGAGACCATGTGGAGACAACGATCACGTGAAATTTGGTTGCAAGAGGGTGACCGAAACACACGTTTTTTTCACAGGAAAGCATCTAGGAGGCGGGACAAGAACAGGGTAGAAAAATTAATGGATGCAGGGGGGGAATGGAAGCATGGATTCACGGAGCTGCAGGGCATTGCTTCAAGCTACTTCTCCTCTTTATTCTCCACTACCTTCGCCACCAATATTGATCGAGTGACCTCTTGTTTATCCCCTCGGGTGACTGCAGATGATAATGCTTTCCTCCTCCAGGTCTTCACCGAAACCGAGATTACTAAGGCACTTCATCAGATGCATCCTTCCAAGGCCCCTGGGCCTGATGGGCTCTCACCTGGTTTTCTCCAGCACTTTTGGCATGTGGTGAAAGATGATGTTGTTAAGCCATGCCTAGACTTCTTGAACCATGGGGGGATACTCCCGTCGGAACTCAATTTTACCCATATTGTGCTTATTCCAAAGTGCAGTGAACCAAAAACCATGGCGGACCTGCGTCCGATCAGCCTCTGTAATGTTATTTATAGAGTTCTAGCCAAGGTCTTGGCAAACAGATTTAAGCTGGTTCTACAGAGAGTTATTTCCCAAGGACAGAGTGCCTTCTTACCAAATCGGTTGATCACAGATAACTTTATGATTGCTTATGAAATCCTCCAATATATGCGAGCTCGGAAAACAAAGAAGCGGGGTTGGCAAGCTGTTAAGCTAGACATGAGCAAGGCCTTTGATCGTATTGAATGGCCTTACTTAGAGCAGGTTATGCAGGCACTGGGTTTTGCTGATGGCTGGATCAGGTTAATCATGGGCTGTGTCTCATCAGTAACTTTTGAGGTGTTACTAAATGGTAGAGAGGCAGGGCGGGTCACTCCTACTCGGGGCTTGAGACAGGGTGATCCATTATCGCCTTATCTTTTTATCCTATGTGCAGAAGGTCTCACAGCGATGTTGAATGATGCTGTAACCAGAGGAAGTTTGCATAGTATCCAAATATGTAGACAAGCACCGAAAATCTCACTTGTTTTTTGCTGATGATAGTTTTCTGTTCCTTCGAGCCACTGAGACTGAAGCCAGAAATTTAATGGTTATTCTGCGAGGCTATGAAGCTGCATCTGGCCAAGTGATCAACTTGCAAAAATCCTCCATTACCTTTAGCAATAACGTGCAACAGAGGACACGAAGCTGTATCTCCACAGTCTTGGGCATGATAGAAGTCGAGCTTCCGGGAAGGTATCTGGGCCTCCCTACTTACATAGGCAGATCAAGAACAACCGTTTTCTCTGGCCTAAAGAACAGATTCTGGGCACGCATAAGTGAGTGGCGAGAACAGCCACTATCTCGCGCTGGTCGAGAAGTTCTCATTAAATCAGTGTTACAATCTCTCCCAACTTACTTGATGAGTCTTTTCCTCTTACCGGCCTCTCTATGTACCGATCTGGAGCGTATTATGAATAGATACTGGTGGGGAGGAGGGGAGGACGACCACAAGATCCATTGGATGGAATGGAAGAAGCTGGCCACCTCAAAGAGAACAGGGGGCTTAGGCTTCCGAGCTATGCGAGATTTCAACCTAGCGATGCTAGGAAAGCAAGGCTGGAGGCTCTTAACATACCCGGATTCCTTAGCAGCGAGACTTATGAAGGCAAAATATTTTCCTCGTTCGGATGTGCTTCATGCAGAGCTAAAATCTCCCTGTAGTTTCACCTGGCGTAGCATCTGGTACTCAGCAGCTCTGTTAAAGCAAGGTTGTAGACGCCTGATTGGAGATGGTCGAAGTACAGAGATATGGGGTGACCCCTGGCTCCCTGGCAATATGCAATTTTATGTTCAGTCACCCCGGCCTCATGGGTGTGACCTTCGGTTTGTAAGTGAACTCATTGATGAAGAAACGAACTCGTGGCGAAGAGATTTGGTCCTTGAGACTTTCACTGCACATGAAGCTCAACTGATATTTGCCATTCCTTTGAGCTGGATGAGGAGGGAGGATAGCTGGATGTGGCACTTTACCAAGCATGGTAATTACACTGTCAAATCTGGTTACTATAGAGCTCCTGGTATGGCAAGGTCCCATGATGGGTCGTCCGCATCCTCAACAGTCTTTGGAGGCAATCGGATATGGTCCCTTAATATCCCAGAAAAGGTGCGCTTGCTTGTTTGGAGTGCTTACCAAAATGTTATCCCTACAAAGGACAATCTCCATAAAAAACATGTTGATGTGGACTTGGAATGCCCGTTGTGTGGGGTGGAGAGGGAATCTGTTTTCCATTGTTTTGTCTCTTGTTCCCTAGCCCGTGCAGTATGGCTAGGTTGTCCTTTAAACCTGAGGGTCTCTGAACTCCCTGGGGATGACTTTGCAAATTTTTTTGATACCTCAGCCAGCGTCTTAGGGGCAGAGCAGCTAGAACTTGTCTGTCTGTTGTGTTGGAATTTATGGACATGCCGGAATGCTGCTCTCTGGAATAATTCTCGCATTAACCCACAGCACATCATCCAGCGCACTATGCATTTTATGAGGGAATATAGGACAGCTATACTATCGAGGGGCAGAGGGGCAGCAGTAGTGCAGCAAGCTAGTGAAACCAGATGGCACCCTCCAGATCCCGGATTTATAAAGTTAAATGTAGATGGAGCAATATCTGTCCAGAACAGATGTTTTGGTATGGGTGCTTTGGCGCGTAACCATGCAGGGGCGGTACTTGCAGCTATGGCATGCAAAGGCCAGGGGGCAGTGGATGCTGCAGTGGCTGAAGCCTGCAGTCTTCGGAGGGCCCTTCAGTGGGCTCATTCCCTCTCTTTTAGAAGAATTGTAGTGGAATCTGATTGCGCAACCATTGTATCAGCAATCAGCAGTGAAACTCTCGAAATGAACTCCAGTTTGGGCCTCATTCTTCTCGACTGCAAAGCACTGTTGGCGTCCTTTGAATCTTGCCGAGTACAACATGTCCACCGTGTGGGTAATGCTGCGGCTCATGAACTAGCACGGAGAGCACTCAGCGCTGAGGATGATGAGTTTTGGGGGGATGCTATACCAGCTACCATTATGTCTATTGTAACAGGAGATATGCACCAGATCTGATCATGTATTTGCTTCCTGTTTTGAAGTTCTAAATAAAGCTTCCGTATTTTAAATC